TGGTTTCGAGCCGGGCGTTTTTCTGTCCCCAGATTTTCGGCCTCTGGGGCCCCGTCGGGACCCTCAGAAGCGGATCCGGGACGGGACGGTATCCCCGTCCGGATCGTTGAAGACCGAGTCTTGTTGGGCCGCGATCGGTAGCGGCCGATCGGCCGACACGCTGGTTTCGACCCCGGCGGTGTTCCCGGCTTTCGGCCTCTGGGGCCCCGCGGGGCCGGGGCCGTCACGCACGGATCCGGGACGGGACACCGTGTCCAAAGCGTCTGTTGAGGAGGAGGAGGAGGAGGAGGAGGAGGAGGAGGAGGAGGAGGAGGAGGAGGTCAACGCGCTGCGTGTTGGCTCGGCACGTGTTGGCCCGCGTGTTGGCGGACGTACCCCGCCAGGCCTGCGCTTTCAGTCCACGCGCTGAGCTCCGTGCCAACACGCCACGTGTTGAGTGTTGTGTATCAGGAGGGGAAAAAACACACAGACACAATTAATCGTCCACTCCCCAGAAAATATGGGAAAATATGGGAAGTGGGGGGGAAGACAAAAACCCAGAAAATATAGGAAAATATGGGGAATCTTTTTATTTGTGTGTACTTATTTGTGTGTCCCAGTTTCCCTTCAGTGTATCGGGCAGCCGAGCCCGGCACCCCCGCCCATAGATCACCGGATGCCGACTTTTGTTGGGCCGCGATCGGCAGCGACCGATCGACCCTCCGAATCGGTCGCAGCCAATCGGTCGTGACCGATAGCAAAAGTTCGAGCAATATCGGAAGCGACAGATCTCGTCGGTTGCGACGTGAAGGTTCTGGCATCCGGTGAGAGGTGTCGGCGGCGAGCGAGGGGGGGAGAGAGAGGAGGGGGTAGGTGGAGAGGAGGAGGAGGAGGAGGAGGAGGAGGTGCAGGTGAAGGAGGAGCAGGAAGAGGAGGGAGCGGGACCTCGTGGCGCATGGGGCAGCGCGTGTCGGCGGACGCCTGGGTCCCCGGGGAAAGCCGGGCCCGCCTCCTCCTCGGGACCCCTCGTTCCCCTGCCAGGTCTGCTGGAAGGCCCAGCAGGGTAGCTCTCCCCCCTAAATTTCAAAGGAGGAACAGGCACCCATACTCGAGAGAGAGAGAGAGAGAACAATCCACCCCCACACCCACTACGATGATTTTTATAGGTTTTCCCGAATGCTTGTGGACTTAGTTGACACGCCCCCGCGGCAACGATTGCGAATCGCGAGGTTTCCAGTTTCACATCTCGTTTTTTTCCCCAACCATCCTGTGGTGTTGGGTCCTCGTTTTGAAGAGACAGCGCCCGCTCCCGCTCCCGCTCCCGCTCCTCCTCCTCCTTCCCCCTCCTCCCTCCTCCCTCCTCACACCATCATCATCGTCATCAGCATCCATTTTGGCACACCCCTCACACGTTTCGTGGCCCCATAGGGAGCTCCGCCGAAGGCCCCAGTGCTGCCGCCCGCATGCGTCCCGCACACCGAATTCGGCACACCCCTCACACGTTTCGTGGCCCCATAGGGAGCCCCACCGAAGGCCCCAGTGCTGCCGCCCGCATGTGTCACGCACACCCAATTCGGCACACCCCTCACACGTTTCGTGGCCCCATAGGGAGCCCCACCGAAGGCCCCAGTGATGCCGCCCGCATGCGTCACGCACACCCAATTCGGCACACCCCTCACACGTTTCGTGGCCCATAGGGAGCCCCACCGAAAGCCCCAGTGCTGCCGCCCGCATGCGTCCCGCACACCCAATTCGGCACACCCCTCACACGTTTCGTGGCCCCATAGGGAGCCCACCGAAGGCCCCAGTGCTGCCGCCCGCATGCGTCACGCACACCCAATTCGGCACACACACACACACACCCCTCACACGTTCGTGGCCCTATAGGGAGCCTGACCGAAGGCCCCAGTGCTGCCGCCCGCATGCGTCACGCACACCCAATTCGGCACACCCCTCACACGTTTCGTGGCCCCATGGGAGCCCCACCGAAGGCCCCAGTGCTGCCGCCCGCATGCGTCACGCACACCCAATTCGGCACACCCCTCACACGTTTCGTGGCCCCATAGGGAGCCCCACCGAAGGCCCCAGTGCTGCCGCCCGCATGCGTCACGCACACCCAATTCGGCACACCCCTCACACGCTTCGTGGCCCCATAGGGAGCCCCACCGAAGGCCCCAGTGCTGCCGCCCGCATGCGTCCCGCACACCGAATTCGGCACACCCCTCAACACGCTTCGTGGCCCCATAGGGAGCTCCACCGAAGGCCCCAGTGCTGCCGCCCGCATGCGTCACCACCCGCACCCAATTCGGCACACCCCTCACACGTTTCGTGGCCCAATAGGGAGCTGCACCGAAGGCCCCAGTGGCGGCGCTCACATGCGTCCCCGCCACACATCCCAGTACACCCCTCACGCGCTTCGTGGCCCCATGGGGAGCTCCACCGAAGGCCCCAGTAGCGGCGCTTACATGCGTCTCTGCCACCCATCCCGGCACCCCCCCCGCAGCAGCATCATGTTTCGGGGACCCATAGGGAGCTCCACTGGAGGCCCCACTGGCGGCCCTCACACGCGTTTCCGCCACCCATATCGGCACGCCCCGCGCGTGTTTCATGTCCCCATCGGGAGCTTCACCGAATGCCCCAAGGGCACCCATCTCGGAACACCCCTCACACGCTCCGTGGTCTTATGGGGAGTTCCACTGAAGATGAAACCCGCAGCTGCGGTACTGACAACTGCATATGGTTGGATTCTTCGCCAGGCTAATTAAACATTTCTTCGTTTCTATAAACAGTTTTTGCTTGTTCTATCAACACTTGTTTGCTTTATAAGTTGGTGCCGTAGCACCCGCGCGATGGCGAGATTTCAGCAATGTCCCAGACAAGTTCGTGCGCGGCAGTTTTGTGTTAACATAGTTGTGGGTGTTTATTAAACCGGTGTTTTATACTGTTTTTGTTCCCGGCCCTCGGCGCTTGTATTCGTCACAAGTTGCCAGGGGCCGCTTGTGGGGTGCACATGCAGCTGACGACGGCCGTCGGGCCACAGGCTCTAGAGAGAAGCTTTGAAACTGTACCATGTGAAGCGGTGGGTGTGTGTGGGGGGGGTTGCTCTCGGGCCGCCTCCACATACAGTCAGCCCGCATAGCAAGGATGGGCAACCTTCCCAAGGGCACCCCTGCATCCCTGCCCCTCAGGCCCATCCTTAGCGACTTTCGCTGGCCAACCTCGTTCGAAAAACGGTAACATGGGCCTCCAAGGCCCTTGCATCCTTACCGCGCATCCTTATGATGCGGGGTTGCTGTACCGCTACACTTGCCTCGTTTTGTTTTCTGGGGCCTCCCGAGATGCCCCCGTCGCCACCGCTGGACTTGCCTCGCAAATCTGGTCAGAACGCGCCCAAGGAGAGGTCCGTGGGGTAACGGTTTCCGTACCTTTTTGCTTCCTCAAGCTCTGGCGCCGCGACGGATCACGACCAGGCAGCGCTCGGCCCCGTCTGTCAGTATCGCTTACCCGACCCCCATCCCCATCCCCATCCTCATCCCCGTCCCGAGCCCCACCATCTCACCACCCCATTTGGGAATATACCCCTCGAAACCCGAAGGGAGCAGCCTATGTCCCCATCTAGGGGGGCAAATCGGCCAGTGGGGCCCAGGCCACGCTGGTGGGGATGGGGATCGTTTGAACGATGCTCAGTCTGCAGCCTCTCCCGAGCCCGATCGGTCCCTAGAGGTCACGCGCGGGAGGGGCCGGAGGCCTCATCGGGTCACCCGCGGAGGCGCGACGATACTCGCGCGCTGCGCGCCTTTGCGCGCCTGGGCCGGAGAGCTGCCACTCTCCGAGGTGGCCCCGCGAGGGCGCGAAGATAGCCGCGCACCGCGGGGCGCGACCCGCGAGGTCAGGTGGCAGGCAGCCCAATCGTGCGACGGTGTAATTGTTTCGATCATCGGCCCCAGAGCTCCCGATGCTCAACCGGAGGGGGGGGGGGGGCAGGTTTTCATGCCAGGTCCATTCCTTGGACCGGGAACGGCCCCCAGAGGCCGAAGTCCTGGGGAAGCGCCAGGATTGAAAACACCAGTACTTCTCGGAGAGCATGCATCACAGGGGTTCGGCGCAAGCGGGGCTCGGCCAGAACGCCGGACCTGGCAGGATCCTGCAACGAGCGGGAGTCTGGCTGAGCCGGGAGGAGGAGGAGGAGGAGGAGGAGGAGGAGGAGGAATCGCGCTTAGCTCGGCGCGGAGCCCGATTCTATCCACGCCCGATCGAGCCGGGCCGTCCCGCAGATGGCCCGCGGGGCCCCGCCTGCACGGGTCTCGGACGATGCTGGGCTCCGGGGGCCGTCTCCGAGAGGCAACGATCGGGGGGGCTCGGCAAAGGGTTGAGTCGGGCCCGTCTCTCTACAGGAGGAACATTCAGAAAGAGTCAAAACATAGTCAGGGGACGATCTTTCGACTATTCCTAACTATTTCTGGTTAGTTTTTGAGTATTTTTTATTTGTCGTTCCAAATCCCCCTGTAGGAGGACATGCCCGACGTAAGCAAAGGGGGGATGCATCGACTCCCAGTCGCCCACTGATCACCGATGGGGGTCTGATAGCCCCGCCCAGCCCAGGAACTTGCGGATGCACTATCGGGGGGCTCATCGCCGATCCATCGGCGATGCATCGCCGAGTCCAGGCCGATGTCCCCTCCCCGATCCCCGCCCCTCCCTGGTGCTGCCCCTCACCGTCGTCGGGCCCTGGGACCGTCCAGAGCGGATCTGGGCCCGCGGACGAAAGGAATTGCCCCTGGGGAAAGGGTCGGGAGCTCGAGGGGCGCGGATGGAGCAAGTCGTGTCGGAGGATGTCTGGGTGTCCCGTTCATCCACGCCCGACCTTCGGAGCTCCGTGGTAGCCCGACGACGTCGACGACGACGACGACGACGGCGGCGACGGCGACGGCGACGACGGCGGCGGCGGCGGCGACGACAACGTCGCATGCCGTGGTCTGGGGGCCCCACCTCTCACGGGAGAGGCGCGCGCTGGCGCTCAGGCCGCGGCGCGGTGGACGACCTTCTCGGACGACGCCTGGGAGGCGGCGGAGAACGCCGCGTTCGCGGCCATGTGCGAGCGCGAGCGGCAGCCGTGCGCTCCCCAGGCGGGGCGGGCGCCAGAGGTCCGGCGCTCCGCTGCAAACAATGGAGCGGTCCGTCGTTGCCGTGGTCGGCCTCCGGGGGCCATCGCCGGGCCATGGGCCGGGCAAAAACCAGCCAGGACTGACAACCCGGCCCTGAGGAGGTGGTCCAGACTTCCGCGGCCCAAGCATGGACAAGAGTTGGAGCGGCCGGATGTCTGTGGGGGGAGGCTTCCAACAGGGGCTCCTCCCTATTCTCGTCCACTGCACGGTTCGTTGCAGGGTCTTCTTCGCCGTTGCGTCGTTCTCCTTGCCCTCCCCCCCGCCCCCAGGGGCGGTCGGGGGACTTAGCTACCCCGCCCTCCTGAGGGTTCTCCATCTGTCATGGTACCCTGTTTGCTTTACACAGTACGGCTTTGATCGGCCTCCCCCCACCCCGGAGCCGACCGCCCCTGGGGGGGGACGGCAACATCCCTCGTGATTCAAGTGTTGGTGTCTTGCTCTGTTGCCCCCGAAGTCGAAGAGGAGGGAGGGGGAGGTGCAGGGGGTAGGAGGGGGGGAGGAGAGGGGGGCGGTTCGTTGGCCCAAAGTGGTTGGGCCTCTTGAGCTGTATTTGGTTTGGTGAGGAGTTCGGCATCGACGAACTTTTCGCGGAGTACATACAGTACAGGAGGAGGGGCGGGGGGAGGCAGCGGAGGGAAGAGGGGAGGAGGACGAGGGGAGAAGAGGGACGAGGACGAGCTCCTACCTGTTGCGCCACATTTTTGGGGGAATGATGATGATGATGGTGATGATGATGATGCTGCTGCTGCTGATGATGATGATGATGATGATGATGCTGACGCTGACGCTGACGCTGACGCTGACGATAATGATGATGGTGATGATAAATGATGGTGATGGTGATGATATTGTTGTTGCTGCGGATGTTGTTGTTAATAGTGATGATGGTGAGGAGGAGGAGGAGGAGGATGGTGATGTTGATGGTGATGGTGATGGTGATGATGAAGTTGTTGCTGCTGATTATGATCATTCTGACGATGCTGATGATAATGGTGATGTTGATGATGATGCTGATGATGGTGATGGTGATGGTGATGATAATGATACATATGATGGTGATGATGCTGATAATGATGCTGGTGACAGTGATGATGCTGATGCTGATGCTGATGATGATGATGGTGGTGGTGGTGGTGATGGTGATGGTGATGCTGCTGCTGATGATGATGAGGATGATGACGATGAGGAGGATGAGGAGGAGGAGGAGGAGGAGGAGGAGGAGGAGGAGGAGGAGGAGGAGGAGCAGGAGCAGGAGGAGGAGGAGGAGGAGGGGAGGGCAGCGCAGTGCAGGCGGCAGGGCTGGGACGCGCCGCGCCGCTCCCTCCTCCCTTGCGCTCCCCTCTTCATCTTCTCCTCCACGGGCACCCACATCGGCCAAGACACACGCCCGCCAGCAGAGCTCGTTTGGATTCCTCCGATTCGATTCGATTCGATTCAATTTCGATGGACTCCGATTCCGATTCGATTCGACTTTGGATTCCGATTCGGATTCCGATCTCCCAGTGAGGCATTACTACTCTGCCGATTTCCGCCGATTCGACTCCTCCCGACTTGGCTGCCGATTTCGGCCGAACCGATGAATTTCCATCGCCGATTCGACTTATCGATCCGATGCTTGGCTCTCTTGCGCCAGCGCAGGCGCGCCCAGAGATGCCTCGTCCCTCGACGGCCCCGGGGTCCACGGAGGTCCTGGGGCCGCGAAGGTCCTGCATGCAGGATCCGGTTCGCTTCTATCGATCCGGCTCGATATCGACATCGATTTCGGCGAGTCCGATCCTCTGGGGCGGAAAAGAGGGGGATGGTGACTAGGGGGGGTGGATATCATGGCGCGGGCCATGATATCTCCGCAGATTTCATGGCGCCTCTTCTTATTTCATTACGTCCCAGGCCCCCCCGCTGGGCCGTGCACATGCCGCCGGTCATGATTTGCACCCCCCCTCTTGGACACCCCCCTCTTGGCCGCTCCCGAGATCCCATTCGATCCCGGTGCTGCAGCGGTCCGACGCGGCCCGATGCTCACATGGTTTCGTGGTGTATCCTTGGGCGGCCGATCCGAGTCGATGCCGACTCCGTGCCGATGCGGCCCGACCAGATGCACATTCCGATTCGATCCTGTGCTCCGATTCGATGCTGATTGATCCTGCTGTTGTGCCCCCCAAAAGTAAGATCCCTTGTCGTGAGCGAGAGAGATGTCCTGTCAGAAGCACCCGTCTGCTGCGGCCCTCTGTCATCTTCCCTCTTCCGGTCCCCGTGGCCGTCCCCCTCCGTGTCCTATTGGACGGAGCTATGACAAGGGTAAATCCGTTCCAGAGCGTTCCGGAACGCTCTCAGAGCGATCCAGAACGCTCTGAGAAGGCCGCAGCGCCCGAGTCACTCTCCAGATCCGCTGGATCTCTGCGATTCTCTCGACGTTTCCGTACCCGATATTATCCTCGTCCTGGCGTCGTATTATGTCGTTTGTCCCCCCAAGGGTACCCTTGCATCCTTGCTTCGTGGGTCTATCCTTGGCCATTTTCGCTGGCCGCGCCCAGCTCGAAAAGCTTCTCCATAGCCTTCCAAGGCCCTTGCATCCTTATAGAGCGTTCTCATCATATGGGTTGACTGTATGCGCCATTCCGAGTGCGAGTCATGGAGCCCTTGTTTCACCATCGCCCAGAAGGTTGTGCGATGTGTTCGCCTCTGTCGCCAGTCATCCGACCTCCGACCGACACAAAAGTCTACGACGGAGGCGTTCCTCCAGTCAGAGTTTTACCATATTAGTGCTTAATACTGGACAGGGCCAGTCGGCAGATCCCCTCGAATCGGAGTCAGCGAGCGACGAGTGTCATGGAAAAACAAAAACGGCATAAACATGAGCTGTTGGCGCTCCGCGCGGATTTCTTGGATCTGCGCTTGGGCCCCCCTGGCGGCGCCACCGGCGGCGCCCGTGGCGCGCTCCGCGCGCCATGGAGGGGGGTACAGCTCAGATCCAAGGAATCCGCGCAGACCCTCAAGAGTTTATGTTTATGCCGTTTTTGTTGTTCCTCTATGACAGCAGGGTTCGATGCCGACGATCATCGTCTCAGCTGGAGCGAAGCATCGAATGTCACCGTCTGGGCATCCATGAGGCACATCGGCGTGGAGTGGTGCATCTGGCCTTGTGACCACTCCCCAGCATCCGAGCTGCCCTGATACGCCCGTTTTGAAACGCAACACGTACCGTTTCCAAACGTCAGTATTAATACGTGGCGTGTTGGTTCGGCACGTGGTGGAGAATTTGATGCCGTCTGCACTGCACCAGACCTACGTGTTCAGTCTACGTGTTGAGCTCCATGTCAACACGCTACAGGTTGCGTACTGCATATCGGGGCAGTTAAGCCCAAGCATTTTCATATTCACCATGCTCGGCAGCCTCATCCTGCGTCATCCCATCCCTCCCCTCGCCCCATTTCTACCCTCCCATGCCTCTTCTACCTCCTGCGGCACTTCTCCTCATCTGCCCCATCGGTGACATTCTCCTTCACATGTGTCCCGAACGCGTCACGAAAGAGCACCGGATTGTTGCGCACGTGTGGCACGTGCAAGGTTTGAAACATACGGTCGGGAACTTTGATATAGCGTGGCGCTCCGCCAGTTCTCGTTCCACCACGCTTCGGCACGACACGCCAGTTATAAACTTCCCAGTTCCTAGGCTTCAGCATTCCGAGCCTTTCCGAGCCTCCCGCCCCGCCGAGGCTCGCGACACGCTATCCGCTTGCAGGGCGTAACGTGTCGCCGGAGCCGCCGCGGCGACGCGCTAAGAGACAGTTCCTGACCGTAGTCACGCCAAGTCTCTTTTCATCTTCACATTCGTTCTCGTCGTCCTCCAGCCCACTCCTCCGCCCCCCAGAACGCCGGCTTGTCAGCCATCTCCGAAGACGGCTGGGAGTTGGCGGAGAAAGCAGCCATTCTGAATCAACAGGGTCACGCTGAGCAGCTCCCTGTCCTTCAGGCGGAAGAGGTGGTATGGACGGAATACAATATGGAGGTCTTGCGTGAGTAGCGACAGCGGAGAAAGCGAAGGACACGATCGGCAGTTGCAGGAAGAGCACAGGGAAGATGGCGAGCAAAGCAAGGAAGAGAGGAAACAGGAGAAGGAGGGAGAGAAGGGGCACTCAGATGGTCACAAGATGCAGAGGCAGACGTGGCGGGAGGGTGTGGGCGGCGTCTAGTGCAGGTTGGCACGCTTCCGCCGTCAGTGGTTCATGGCCGTCCAATATCACTGCGTGTGTTCATGTAGTTGGCTGTGGGTCAGCGCGCATGCGACGCATTACACTCGCCCGTGAAATTTGTTGACGAATCTGAAACACATGTGTGACTCATTGTTTGCGTGTGCATGCATACATTGCTGCTCTTGCGTTGGTAACCATATGTGCAGCACTTTCGGCGTGTGATATGACATCTGACGCGACATAGCACATGGGACAATGGCCGAGTCCTCGTGATGGGGTCTAGCATGTCAAGGGTTGACAGATGCGGCAGCGATCTGGCGCGCGGCACCGAGCACGAAGAGGTTAAGCTCTGGCTTGAGCTGAGCCAGATGACCACCTGGTGCAATTGCAAACTACGTTTCTACACGTACGACCTATTGACATCTATTGGCAGTGCTGACCATCAGAATGGGGTGCCTCTTGGGATTGCCGTGGATCTAAATCAGTTTGAAACAACGGTAGCGATGCCAGGTGTGTGATGATTCGCTCGTGCTCTTAATCGCCCAGTTTTAACTGTGCGCATTGTCGATTGATGAGCAGCATGCGATGACCGTAGTAAGAACCATTGCCGAACATTCGTATGATAATTAACGCAGCAGTGTCATAAGCCAGACACGCACGCGCACTTTCGGGACTGAGAGCGTATCGCTGTGTTGAGTGGACCGGGACATCTTCCGGGCTCGTTGGGACAATCCCAGCGACAGGTGGTGTTCGGCATGCCCGTTAGCCGAGGTACATTGTTGTGTTGTGTCCCAGTGGCATTGCGGGCTCTGCCGATCTGACGTGTTTTACGTTGCATCTTCGGGGTGCCTCGTCTGTCCCGAAAATTGGTGTCTTTTCTTGTACCCAGAGCGGGCTCGATGCGGACTCGACGCGGATGTGGCGTGGATTCGACGTGCATTCGACACGGATTCGACACGGATCCGACGAGGCCGACATGGATGCGACACGGATTCGACGCGGATAGGGCCGCGACGGGACAGACAAGGTCCCCCGAGGATGCAACAGAAACATGTTTTTTGGGTGTTTGGAACGATCACCAGGTGGACATGATCAAGGCAGTCAGCATCATGCCGGAAGTGACGACAGATGACCTGCTGATCATGCAGGCGACCCGAGCCGGAGCCGTGCCCACCGAGCACGGACCTCCGCGGTTCCAG